CTCGGCACAAGCACCCGCGGAGCCTCCTGCTTTCCTTTGCCGGGTCTGGTTTGGCAGCGCAGGACAAAAGGAATGGGAGCGAAAATACCCATCCGCGTGGCCAGGGGAAGTTTTCAGCCACTGCGACTGCAAGTGGCGAAACCTTGATTATCCCTGTGGCAGAGAAAGGATGGGGACAGGCTCCACTGTCTTTGGAGGAGCAGCTGGGGGTTATCCAGATCTTTTATCACAGTTCTGATGAAGCAACAACACATCCAACAAAACTTCGTTTTTGTTTGTTTTATTCCAAAAAGCACTTCCTTACAAATGGGTTAAAAATACCACACAGAGCTGTTTCAGTTTCTCAGACTGCTGTCTCCCTGTTGACTTAAAAACAGAAAACCAGAAACCCCTTTCCACTCTTGCACAGTCCTTGCCCTCAGAATCCAGGTTACTTTAATGCCCCAATCTGTTTCCTCTGCAGGCTGGGATAACCCAGGCACCAGCCATGGAAACAGGATTCTGCTGATTGCAGCAGGGGATGAGAGCAGAGACCCTGTAAACTTCTGGGAAAAAAAGAGCTGAATCTACCTCTGCCAATATTTTCTCTGGGGTCCTGAGGATCCCATCTGGTGAGAGTGTATTAACAGGGGCTCAGTTCTGCAGGGCTGTGTGGACACATAGCTCCTCTGTTGAAGAACAAACCATCTCTACCCCAGCTGCCCTCAGGGTGAGTACTGTGGCAACACCACTATCACCTGCTGCTCCCCTATGAGGTAGATAGTTTAACTCTTTCAATGGCACAACAGCCTCTAAAACTCAACATAAAGCTCTTAAGCTATCCAAAAAATGATTACCCCCAAATTCCAGTCCCTACTTCTGTCAGAGAACACTGAATATCCCAAGTGCTATCACATAATGAGAAAACAGTAGCCAAAAGAAGGGGCATGTGTGTCCCAGCTGAGTGCAGCTCACAGTATGTGTGCCTTGCCCATGAGTACACAGCACTTGGTAAAACCTCCAGTAAAATTAACAGCAAGGCTTCTCATCGACTGAATGGCCTTTAGGATCATTCTGAGGCAAGTAGTAACAAAGTCCCACATACTAACAACCCTCCTCTGGGCATAACTAACCACCCCATTAAATGGCCATGATCCAATGTTCTATTTAACATCCTTATGGAGACAGTAGAGCCAGGTCCCACTGCCTGGGAGCAATGTCACAGTCTGCCTACTGCTGTTCCCCATAGTTCTAGTATAAAAGTCTGAGAGAGCAAGAAAGAAGTTAACACTGATTTTCAGATTTCCACAGAGATCAGTTTGAGCTGAAGAAAAAAACAGAGAAGTCTACAGTTCTGTTTTCAGCCATTCAGAAGTGATCTCACTGTAGTTCTTCCTCCTTTTCACTTTGTAAGTCAAGGCTTGGGAATATTCAGACAGGAGATGTTCCCAGTAGCAAGAAACATCCTCCATCTGCAAGTGCTCGGTGATGAACTTACGTCCCCTAGAGACACACAAGACACAGTCAGAACTGTTTCCCAGTTCCTGCAAGAGTCTTTGGGTTTGTTTTGGATGTACATCAGCTTTCACTCTTCTGTTTCAAATGAGAGACAACACACACTGCTCTGTACCATCTATTTTGATTTCCCAATTTTCATTCACGCTCACAGCTCTGACGGTTGCAGTGCTTTTGTTATCCTCAAGATGGTATTTGTTATCTGGGATGATAAATATCAGATTTCACTTATCAGATACAGCCTGAGCAGCACTGATGCATGCGGCATCCAAAGCCAGTCGCTGCCAGCCTGGATGGATAATGCCTGCAGAGCAGACACAGCTCCCAGGGGTCAGCTCATCTCACACTGAGACGAAAGCTCCCAACCTCTGACAGCATTCCACGGGGTTCCTGACATGGGTCACATCTGAACCAAAGACCAAAGCACAGAATCTTGTTCTCTGGTTCCCCCTGCTTGTTATGAGTGTTCCAGCCCTCCTGCTGTTACTGCACTAGATCAGGAATAGTGCACCCTACTAATACTAGGTTGTCTTTGATGGGCAAACCCTGCAAAAGCTGCCTAAGAAAATGCATTAGAAGAAGATGCTTTTGGTTGGAAAGCAGAGCCATGCACAAGGACCTGGGGGTGCTGGCAGACAGCAGCTGAACACGAGCCAGCATTGTGCCCAGGTGGCCAAGAAGTCCAATGGCACAGAAATACAGTGACCAGCAAGACATGGGAATTGATTGTCCCCCTGTACTCGGCACTGGTGAGGCCACACCTTGAGTGCTGTGTCCAGTTCTGGGTCCCTCACTTCAAGGATACTGAGGTGCTGGAGCTTGTCCAGAGAAGGGCAAGGAAGCTGGGGAATGTTCTGGAACACAAGTCCGATGAGGAGAGGCTGACAGAACTGGGGTTATTTAGCCTGGAGAAGAGAAGGCTCAAGGGAGACCTTATCATTCACTATCTGAAAGGAGGCTGTAGCCAGGTGGGGGGCAGTCTCTTCTCCCAGGTAACAAGTGACAGGATGAAAACATATAGTCTCAAGCTGTGCAGGGGGAAGCTTAGGTTAGACATTAGGAGGAACTTCTTCACAGAAGGGGTGATTAGACACTAAAATGGACTGCCCAGGGAGGTGGTGGAGTCACCATCCCTGAAGGTGTTTAAGGAGAGACTGGATGTGTCACGTGTCTAGTTGACATGATGATGTTAGGTCACAGGTTGGACTCGATCTCAGAAGTCTTTTCCAACCTGATTGATTCTGTGATGACTGTCTGATAGCCAGGAAGGACACACTACTTACCTCTCTGAAATTTCTTGTGCTATTGCATCATTTTCCTTTACAAACTGCAGCAGCTCCCTAAAATGAAGACCAGAGAAAAGCTATGAAACAACTGGCTCAGTGGATGACACAGAATCTTAGCTACACTGTTGGGGAGGATGAGGTTAAGAGTCTACAACTGAGTGAGGGACTGGTGCTGCTTGTCTCAGAGCACAGAAGAAACTTGCCCTTCTTGATTGTTCCACACCAGTTCTGGACAGCACCTTGAAATCTGGGAGTTAACATATTTTTGGCCCACTGATAAGTTTCTCTCTTCCCCTATCTGTGCTGCAGGGCCCACCTGCAAATGTAAGTGTCTAGTGCCTGCTGATTTCAGTGAGAGTGACAGAGCTACAGAGGGCAGTGAAACTGTACTCCCCAAGGAATATGAGCAAAGGATTCTTTGGGGGCAGTGATAAAGAGAAAGAAATGTGATCTCCAAGAGCCTTTGCCTGATGCCTGGGGGTGGAGGCATTTGTTAGTGTAATACAAACCAAACTGCCTTCCCAAAAGCTTTCCCGTGGCACACAGTGCTCTGCTGAGCACACCTCGGGTCTCACACCTGACATTGGAGAGGTCTGATCGAACTGGGATGTAGTGGACCCAAGGCTTCAACTGTGGGTAGAAGAACTCCAGCCACTCTTCTCCAACATGAAAGACAAGTGAACCACATAAGAAAAGGTGTTTCAGCCGGAAACTGGCAGCCACTCCACGGAAATTAAACAGGTACCTTTAAAGGGTTAAGCAAAGAGAGAGACCTGGTTACACTTGGCATTTTGTGAGGAAATGTTCTCCAAGGAGCAGTGAACCCTCCCTCAGAGGGAGCATCTGGGGGGACCTCCCTCACGCTGAGCTACACACCCCGCACTGAAACAAAGGCAAAGTCTTCATTTGAAGCTTCTTACAGGAAAGGTGGGCTGAAGTTAAGGATGTGCTAGGTGAGTTTCTGCTGTCTGTCAAAAATGTGATCACCTCTGACTAAGGCACCTGACTGCGACAAGGAGGCCTCAAGGACAACTGCCAACAAGTCATGGAAGGTCACAAGGTGGATGCAGATCCCATGACTCTGTTACCACAAGGAAATTTTCCCCAGTTCTCTCTTGTCTTGCAATGAGCTCTTCTGTTCATTGTTCTGCTTTGCCAAATCTATCTCAGGTTATTTTTTCCTCTGCTTTAATCTGAATGTAAATGTCTCATATTAACTTGGGAATGCAACCCTAGGAGGTTAACTAGGCTAGCACACAACAGATGGACTTTGCAGATAACAAAGAATCCACGATTTTGTTTTCAGTATTTTCTGCCAAGTTAGTAAAGTGGGCTTGACTGAGAGGGGGGATTTCTCTTAGCAAATGATATCTCAGAGGGATGTTTGTTTGCTTACTTGTTTTCTTTTTCAAACCCACATTTCTCCAATTATATGGAAAGCCGTTTTTTTTCTACTGGTAAAAACTCCTCAGTACATATAACTAATCTTTGAAGTCAAACATTTGGGGCTGGGGGAAGGGAGTTCCTCCTTTAATGAAGCTATTTTGAGTAAAGATGGGGATTATATATTATATATATTTTGGGTGAAATGGGAATTACAGCTAAACTTAGTTCAGCAGTAAATGAAAAGGAGTAAATTTGAAATTATTTTGCAGCCAAGGAGCTCAAGACAGGGATGAGGAGCTCGTTATATCAGGAACTCAACAAATACATGAGAAATGTAACAAGAACAGTCGTCTGGAAGCTAGGAAATGCCTCTGTCCAATTCCAGACACAGCTTCCACCATCCCTGATCTCAGCCAAGTCAGTGAGTGCTGCTCTCCGCCAGCCTGCTGTAGCACCTACACTGAAGGAAGCAGACAGAAGCTTGTGTTGACCCTACCAGCCCCTGGGCTACCACGAAAGTGTGTGAGAATGTCTCAGCCTGCACTGTATGATGAGCTGAAGAGGCATCAGAGTTGGGCAGTCTATGTGTAACAGAAGGGAGAAATCTGGGCAACAGCCTAGTGAAATACAAAATGAGACAAGTCAATCACATTTGCACAAAAACCCAGATCCAGCCAAATGACTGAGCTCTTGTATCAGCAGGTTCTAGCTGGCAGAATCACAACTAGCAAAAGAAAAAGCAAAACATCAGACACACAAGTGCATGCACACTGAGAGTTTATATCTTACATAGAAACCTGCAAGAGTATTCCACTGAAAACCCTCACTGAAGTAACTAAAAAATAAAAACCTTTGCAAATCAAACCCACATTCTCCCAAAAAGCATACAAAGTATGAATCAATACTATATCTGTGCAATCAGATTTCAGGTTCTTCCTTTTACTATATACATCCAGTGGCAGCACTTGCCCAAATATGCATATGAAGACATAATTCCCTAGTTCCTTACATCTTTGAAGACAGTAAAGCTATCACGGTAGCACTGAAAAATAATTTTCAACACACCACTTAGTACAGGAATATAAAGAAAAATTGATAGAAAAATCTTTTTGATTAAGGAAAAATTGATCTGTGTTTATTAGTGATCTAAGACCTTTACTTTCTCAAAGCACTTTATTTCTCCTGACCTGATGGGGGAAAACTGACACTGAAAGATACCATGCTAAGCTCCCAGACTTTCAACTGTCTTATATCTGCTCTCAGACTGCATGGAGCTGGTTGCTGGAATTAGACCTGAAAATAAAATGAGACCCTACACCATATAAGGAAAAAAAATAACCCACAGCCCTTGAACAGCTTTACTAATCAAAACTCTTACTTGTATTTGCAGTGATCAACCAGTGGAATTTCCTTTGCAGGAGGTTTTCCTAAGGTGTCCTTAAAATAAACAGAATTAAAAAATATTCAGTAAGCTTTAAATGGTGATTTTATTTGTTTTCCTTCTCAGTTAGAAACAAAGGTGACATGTCAAAAGCCTCCATTCCCACTTCTAAGAAAACCTTCTCTGGTGGCCTTTTAGAAGGATTACAAAGTACTCCCAGCCCTTCAAACAAGCAAAAAAGTTCAGTAAATTACACACTGCCTGTAAGTGAATGCCAGCACAAACACATTAAATGATAATGTTTAGTTGGCAGCGACAGAGTGGAAAACAGCTTGGGACAATGGACTGTGTGAAGCCAAGTGTAGCCGGATTAGCCAAGACTGTCTGGGGAGAGCTGGACTGTAGACTAAGTATGGAACTAAAAAGTTATCAGCAACAGTTATCAGCAAGTTATCCACAACAAGATCAAGAAATGGAGAACACAGAAAAAGGTTTAAAAATACTGACAACACCACAGAGGCAGCTCAGAGATAGGAGAAGAGTTGGCCAATTTTGTTGTTATGAGAGAGGAGAGGATTGGCAGAGATTCATCTTCTTATGTGTGTTGGTTTCCTTGAGTAATAAGCATAGAAGGAACAAAAATGTTTAGCCTGCCAGGCTCTAGAGACTCCTTTCTTTCATCCATCAGAGAGGTGCAGCCATCAAGGGAACTATAAGCCTCCCCACAGAGGATCCCCATAACTCTCCAACAAGGTGTTTCTCACTCATCAAAGCTGCCTCGCAATGTGACCATTTCTGGCCTTCACACTCAGAAGGCAGACAACATCCACACACCTTTTCAGATTTCCAAGCCTGGTTTTTAGTGTACTCAGCGTCAACCAGTTCTGGGTCTTCTCGGGACAGCAGGATGAGGGGATCTCTCTCAGGGCTCGTTCTGAAGAAGAAATACTAACAGTAATTGCCAATCCACATGACTTGACACAGCTAACAAAGTAGATGACTCAAGGTCCTGCTTTTTTATGAGGACGACTTCCCTGTGTGCCCCAAAACATTACTAAATGCCTACCACAAAGTGTATTTTTGTCCAAGGGTTTATTAGCAGAAAAGAATGAGTTATGTGTACCAAAATCATTTGATGACGTTTCTTTATTTCAATTACTAAGTATTTGATAGCATTATTTAAATAATTCCCAGGACAAATCATCAGAGGTGTTGCTTCCTCCAGGCTTTATCTTGATGGGTGCCAAATGCTTTAACTCTCTCCTTAGTCAGAGAGAGGTAAGAGATGCTAAGCATCTTCTGTGCGGATCCCTCTGACACGGATTTAAAACCCTGCTGATAAAAAAAGGTTATGACACCCCTGAGACTCACTCCTCCATCTCCTGAGCCTGCATCTCCTGAGCCTACCTGGTAAGACAGCAAATCCTTCCCTACTGGGGATGGGAGAGAAACAGAGTACCAGGTTTCATGTTGTTTCAGACTGTCACTGGGGAGAGGGCAAAAGTAATCTACTCTCATCCCCCACCACTGAGGTAACTTAAGGCCAGAACATTTTTCCTTCAGTGTTGAGCACTTAAACAGCAAATGAAGTATTCACACGGGCAGGAAGCGTGCACATCAATATCAAATCTTTAAATTTGTATCAAGCACCTGCAGTTCCCTTCACAGAACAAAACAAGCAGGCTCCTGGTGTGACAGTTTTACTCATTAAGAAATAATGTGGCAAATTCATCACAGCTTCTGTTTCCAGTGTTAGACTTACTACCACAAACTAGTTGACAATGGCAATTCTTAAGGAGAATCACTAATGGTGCAATGCTGCTGTACAATGTGTCTCACATTCCTTACTTTTGAAAAACACACTCTGGGTTACACTTCATTAGGACTTGGGACATACAGAAATTTCTGCATACAGACACTGTCACAGCCTATGTTGGCAGACTGTTCTGTTACAGGAAAATAGGCTCACCTGGATCCTCGGAAATATCCTTTAGAGATTTTTTTCTTCCATGGCCATTTTTCTGCAGATCTGAAAATATTGTTTATACATGGCAATAAATGATTTAATATAACCATGAAACAGCACTCTCATCAACTTTCACAGCATGATTTCCTTTTACAATTCTTCATTTTTGATGGAAATCGCTTTCTTCATTAGAGCAGAAAAAACTCTCAGCCAGGTCCAATTAAACAGGTTTTGCTGTGAATATTGTGTTTAAGGCAACATGATACAGGCTACTTTTCAGTAAAAACAATGAATTACACACAACCTCCTCACTAAACCTCAACGAGTATTAAAATCTACCTAAAATTAAATCCACTTTTTGTGTTATGGCTTTATTTTGCTGTACTTCACTGAATATGGGCAGTGAAAAATGACTAGTTTTTAACCAGTCATTTGCCATTAAAAAACAAAACTACCAATCAACAAACAAAAAACCCACCTAGTGTTTTGCAGTTAAAACACAGGAGCTCATTGTTTTCCCAAATCACTTTCATTTTTAACCTAAGCAAGTCTTTCAAAATAGCTGTGCACATGTTTTATTTCTGCCAGTGCACTCACCTGCCTCCTTCACTCTCTGCCATACTTTTCTGTTGCACATGGCAGGACATGTAGGTTCTGATCCCCAAATTGATCTACCTGCACAGGTCAAGCTTTGCATCTGCTTATAACCCCATGACACAAGTGGGACACACTGAGAAAGCAAGGATGATGCTTTGAACCTCCATTATATTACATTACATTGAGCTTCAGCTATTAGTCCCATAGATCTTCAGATTTTGAAGAGGGAAACACTCATCCTTGTGTTCTGGTGTCAAGTAATTGACATTGAGGTGTTTTTTCTTATGGTGTTTCTATGTTCACTCACTGTTGCACACTTGGTTTGTGACTCTCCTTGGGAAACAGCCCCTTACTCTGCTAATAGCCAAAGATCCTGCCAAAAAGAGGACTCTCAATCAGAAACATCTTCTGTTTTACTCTCAGCCCAGTAGTGACTCTTGATTCTTGGGAATGATTCCAGGTTTCTCGATTGCACAATCATACTCAAGTAAAAGGAGATATAAAGGCGGCTTTCCTTTAGCCTACTAGAAGCTTATACAAACATCCTGGATCATCCCTGCAGTGAAAAAAACACCACAGCTCCTAGAGAAGTAGTTGGGAAGAAAGGAAAATATTTCTACGTGTCAGGGGACATTTCTGCAGGCAAAAGATAACTGCTACTTTATTGACAAACCCTCTCTCACCAAAAATGACAGCAATCTGGCCATGGCAGCATGAAGAATGTGCATAGTTTGTCCTCTGCATTCCTTACTAAAGGGTTGCAAACGGAGAAGCTAATTAGAACTTCTAGCTACATCACCCAAGGTTTCCATGGAGAATTCTCATACAGCAGATAGGCTGTAGGTAGTTAATGTGAGGCAGTGGGACAGATCATAGGCCAAGAGACCTACTGTCTTAGACATCAACACCGACACAGTGCTGCCCAATGCTTGGTGGCTTTTACTGTGAGTTTGTCTTCCATGAAACCTCCCCCCACACATAACCATTTCTAAAACATACCTCCTGAGGTCCTCTCTCATGAGGTCCCAGCGCCCTAAACCTGTTGGGTAAATCGGCCAAACAGCTGGTCCTCCTTCCCAAAATGTCCAGGCAGGATACATGATATCATTGTATTCAGATGTCTTAAGAAAAAGGAGAGTAATGCAAGAATAAGAGTAACATCTACTTCAGTTTGCTGACTGAGCCCACCAGTAACAAGTGTTCCTTCTGGGAGCTTTCTCCGTTATGCTTCTACAAGCAGCCACCAGAGCTTTGTGGTCACCATAGTGTTGCTGGGGTTACAGAATCACAGAATACTTAGGGTTGGAAGGGATCTCTGGAGATCATCTAGTCCAACTTCCTCTACCAAGACAGGGTCACCTAGAGCAGGTGACACAGGAACACATCCAGGTGGGTTTTGAATGTCTCCAGAGAGGGAGACTCCATGACCTCCCTGGGGGATTCACATGAAAACAACTTGAAATTGAAATGCTTCAGTGTTTTTAAAAAGGCTTTGTTTTGCTGCATGACAACATGGGACTTTCATGTAGAAAATAACAAAAGAGGTCCATGATGTAGTGATTAGTAAACAGCAGAAGACGTGAGCTCCAATCACTCACCTTTCTAATGACTTGTGCCTATGTGTAGCTACAAATGTTTTCAACTGATGATAAGTCAAGAGGCATCATTATCCCCTCAGTGTTAGAGGCACTTACAGACACTTTGACATTTAGGTTTCCAACACTTCAGCTCATTCCAGCTTTCCTAGAGATCATTTGACAATTCACTGCAGCAAATATCCAGGTCATGTAAGAATTGCAGTTGCTCACTCCTATTTGGTTGCTTAAATTCCCATATATTATCGGAGGGAAGAGAAGGACTTAGGTAAGACTAAACCCTTCCACAAAATCAGACTATAGGCAACTTCCTTGCACTAGTAATCAACTTCCTACATAATTATCCATTTATCTGTCACTTGGAGATACTGGAAAGAGCCCAAGACTACCAAGGTAGTTAGGAGTTGTTAGTGCACATGACATATGTCATGGGGCTGAGGAATGGGTTTGTCCATGCACAGGAAGAAGAGGCTTGGGGGAATGTAAACGAAAAGGGTTCCCAGGAGATGGCAATATTACAGAAGAGAAAGTAAGAAACACTTATCTGTAGTGCCAAAAAAAGGACTAAAATATTTGCATTAAATGAGATTAACTGTATGACAGCTGATGTGATCAAAAATCCTTAATAATGCTGATAAAACAATTTAACAGTGGTATTGGAGCAAATGACAGCAATGCTGGCACATATCCCATCCAGCTGTGCATCACTCCACTGTGGCAGAGGTACACTTTTTGACCTGGAAGAGGAGCTAATGAGGGGGAAAAAACTGATCTATCGAATCGATCTGCAAGTCTGTCTGCCAGAAAACTGGAAGCAAAAGGAAATGAAGGGCAAAAGAGAATAAAGGGTTCTGATGCACAGAAAAGCTGTGGCGAACCATCCTCCAAATTACATTCCCAAAAGAAAGGAGGACATGCCTGTCTCAGAAATGCTCAGCTTTTAAAGGTGTGCGCACCTTACTGAAGGAGAAGACTGGGATAATGGGTTTCATCCACTTGGGAACCTGGGGGTAGTCTCGCACGTTGATCACCATTTCCATGTCAGGGAGGTGGTTGATGATCCCTAGAATGAAGTGCTCAACTCCACTGCATCTGTGGAGAAATGACATACAGCAAAGAGTTGTAAGAAGGCGGCAGAATCCTGCAGTCTTTTGCAGGCCTTCCTCTCTGGACAGGAGCAGAAGAGATGGTGAGCCTGAGCCATACTATGGTGCAGGCTGGGAACTGCCTACAGCAACTTCTATGCTCCAACACAGTATAGACATCAACGAGGCAACCCATCCTGTTACATCTGGCCTGATCCACAGCTTCCTCTGCGATCCCACAACCAACCAACCCTTTGTACACTCAAGTGCAACAGTGGCACTTTACTCTTGCTACATTTAAGCCTCATAGGAAATTTTCTAGGCTCCAGCTCTGATAAGGAATCAGACACCTGAAATATTGTGCTCAATGGCTTTCAACGTGGCAGTGTTGGAAGTACTCCTCTAGTCCCAGCTAGGCAGATGAGATCTGCACAGCTCTTACCTTGCAGGGAACAAACAATCCTGCTCACGGTACAGTTTATGTTTAATGATTTGGTAGTGTGTCCCGAGCTTCCGGCTCACCACATCGGATATTGTCTCCTTAGAAATTCCACCTTGAAAAGGAGCCAGGTCCTGCTTCCAGACACTGAAACAAAACCATCAGCCATTATTACGGACCACAGGGAGGATACTATGCACTACTACTATTATTGCAGTATGCAGAACAAACTTCTAGCTAAAACAAGCTCCATGTAGCTTCCAGGAGCTCTGGTGTAACAGAATTTAAGTCACCTGGAAGTTCCTCAGAGACTCAAAGGTCCAAGCCTCACACTTTGACTATGTGCTATTGGCCCAGCATAGGACAACTCTCGTTACTCTGCCACAAAAGGACCTGATATACCCTGGAATGTTTTGGGTAAAAACCTTCAGCTCACTTTGCCTGCAAAACTTGTGCTCTGGCCTTCCATGAAAGATGGACCACACCAAGACCAAACTCCTCACTCAATGTCATGCTACTTAGACATTAAAAAAGCAGCTAAGACTCTAGTTGCAAGAAACAGCATCACCCCATAATGCTGGGAGCAGTGAAAGCTGGCCCAGGAGAACAGGCATATGTAGCACCCGTTCTGTGACTTCTTCACATCACCAGTGAGCTCCAGGAACTCACTGTATGGAAACACAAACCTAATGAATATAAGAAAATACAGAAGGAGGATGCAGTTTATATAAATTCAGCCTAAAGGTCCTCAGATGTAACTGCTTAGAGCATTTAATGAACACTGTCAGATTATAACAGCCATGGAGACATCCTCCCTACTGTTTGGTAGACACTGCACCAATGTTTCATTTTAAGACCACACTATCAGGGTGATCCCACTGTGCGGGTGCTCAAACACTGGCACAGCTTGCCCAGAGAGGCTGTGGAGTTTCTGTTCTTTGAGATATTCAAAACGTGACTCAATACAGTCCTGGCAACCCTGTTTGGATGGAGGAATTGGACTTGATGATCTGAAGAGGTCCCCTCCAACCTCTAGGACCCTGCTACTTCATAATTGGGTGGAGAACAGTAAAACTATGTCAAGAATTGCCACTGTGCACATGGCCTGACCACAGCATGAGCAGTCTGGCAGGGATGCAAATGGACTGAGCTTGAGAACAGGAAGAGAGTTGCAGTGTCATGGCACATCCTTGTCATTGTAGCCTAAAAGTGACAACAGAAAGCTAGCAATGACCAAGTTAGGACCTTCAGTCCTTGGCCACTGACATAAGTAGAATTTGTTACATATGGAAAAGTAACTTTCAACATTTCAGCTTTCAGCGTTCTCCTGCATGCTTATATACCTCCAAATTAGCTATCAAAGTGAACTGAGTTTCTTAAGTGTCACACAGCTGTAATATCTTCCTGGATTCTTCTGTAGTGCCCATCACTAGAGGAATGCTCCCTGAATGAACTACTGCCTTGGTGAAAACTAGGTTTCAAGATCCACAGTAATCCTAACTTCATGTCACTATTGACTGTGATGTTCTGAAGCAGATTTGGAGGTTGTAGCCTCCTGGGAAGGTGGGCAGGAGCTGGTGGAGTGTGTGTTTAAAGATTAGGAGATGTCTTTAGGCTGTAGTTGAATTGGAACTTATGAAAAAGACTGGAAGGCTCAACTAGAAGAGACTTTTTCTCATCAATATTTCAAGAGTAATGAAGATCAAAAACTCCAAACAGAGTGTACAAACAGTTGCTTAATATGAATCATCTGATTTTAGAAACCAATACAGCACTCAATCTCACTCCCCAAATGAGTAAGCACATCTGGTACTTTTAAACAGAAGTCTTAAAGTTGGGCATCTGTGTTTCTGCACCTGAAATCCTAATCCTAAAGGCAGAAGAATGTTGTGACTCTCTCCTAAATTCCCTCTTCTCCTTTAAATAAAAGTGCTGCTTAAAGGCATGAAAACCCTAGTCCTATAAGCCCTGCCCATATGGCAATGATGACCTATGCATCTGTAATGTTCACTATGCTGCAGTTCAGCTCTATCAGTGTGAGCAGAAAGGAAATTTGGTTTGGCTATGTCTATAAGACAGCCAGTGCTTGCACTGCCTACACTAGTCTTGCGTCACATATAAGCCTCTATCTCTCTACATTAAGTTCACTGTAGGAAGATTAGACCAGCATTTCAAGTCAGAGTGCTGGCATTATGCATAATGCTCTATGGTTATCAAAGAAAACCCAAACAGGACTTGCATCTTCTTGAATGAGCTTCTCTTGGATCACACTTTGGTCACATTCAAGTCAGGTAGTTAAATATCCACCATCACTCCATACTCACAAGCAGTAGCCTAAACTCCCCAGAAAGAGTGCTAAAAAGTACAGCATGCCATCACACCAAATGAATCTGCTCTGTAACAATCCTTCTTAATCTAGCTATTCAGAATATTTTGCACGGACTTGATTTCTTCCACTTGTAAAAGCCCATGAGAAAGATTTGTTAGCAACATGGCACTGAGGGAGAAGGCAGAAGTGGATTGTTAAGACAGAAAATGTCACTGGCTATACCTATGGTTTATTGTTAGCAACATGGCATGGAGAGAGAAGGTAAAAGAGGATTAAGACAGAAGTGTTGCTGGCTATGCATATGGTTTATTGTTAGGAACATGGCATGGAGAGAGAAGGTAAAAGTGGATTGTTAAGACAGAAGTGTCACTGTACGGTTTATTGCATGATCATATATGAAATGCCAACATAGGGTGTGTTCAATCACAGAGCACACCAAGGAGTGTGACCAGCTCCACAGCTGCAGATCTGACACCTTAAAGCCCAAACATTCCCTAGCTAATCCCCAACCACCAGTGCTGCCACAAGTATGCGCAGAGAGCCGTGCGCGGCGAAAAGGAAACCAATCTCTCACCTTTGGTGGCAGCTGCAATTCTCCTTTACACACGGCTCATAGGCTCCCACAGCTTCCTGAATCTGGCCAGTTATTGCCTCCCATTTGGCATCTAAAACACACAGGAAAAGAAAGCCAAAGGATCCATCAACTATCAGCAGAGCAGGGGGGAGGCAGGGGAAGGAGCGGGAGGATGGGCATCCCGCGCTGGAAGGGAAGCCGGGAGGAGCCGAAGGCTGAAAGGGAAGGGTTCCCTTTCAACCCTGCTCGGCTACAGGGTGCCGGGGGAGCCTTCGACCCGAGCCCCGACCTTGC